TTTAAAGAAAGTTGTGACGGTGAACACACAAACGTCGCCGAGATGCAGCTGTGTTATCTGTATACTGTTTGCTTGTTTGTCGTCGCGTCTGTTATTTTATCTTATTATTACATCAGTATCGTCGGAGACACTCAAGAGAAATTGACGGTTGCCGACGATATTAGTATGAACAAGAACATTTCCTTTAAGATGCTACAGCGAGTACAAGAAGCACTGGAGGAGGAACAGTCGCCTAGTATTGACTTTGACGACGATTTGATGTCAAGAGCAATTCAGGCTGGTAATCTTACTCGCTTAAAGAACGTTCTCAAGAAAGCTTTAAGAGGTGAAGACATCAATCTATTGGTCATTGGAGGCTCTAACAGCGCTGGCGGAAAATTAGGACTTGACGAGAATAGCTTGGATGGATTATATTTTAAAGTGTTTGGAAGATGGTGGAACAACACCTTTGGCAAAGCGATCAAGTCCTTCGTGAAAGAAATTCAGTTAGCAATCGGAGCCACCGGAAGCCCTTTCTTTGCGTTTTGCTACAAAACGTTCATTGCAGAAGGTGAGAAAATCGATATAGTGCTAATAGAAATATCAGCGAACGACTGCAGATTTCGGACGGCGAAACATTTGGAGCAGTTAACTCGCCAAGTGCTTAGGTATCATTCAGAACCCGCGCTACTTTATATTAATCTGATAGGTAATGTGGGTTACAAGGCCAAGCCGCTTAATCCAACGTGCAGAAACCTAGAGACTTTTGGACAAACACAGCTTGCTCGCCATTATGAAATTACGTCGTTCAGTTTAAAGGAGGTATTTTGTCGCAAGGACGAAAGAGGTCAGTGGAAAATAATTTTAACAAACATGACTGGGTCCGATGGTAACCATATTGGCCTCAAGGCGCATGCTGTAGTTGCTTCCCTGATGATTAAACATGTGAGGAGCGTTACACAAGAACTTATCAATGACGTCTATAATGTGGATGGAGGACACGGAAGTTCTGCTTTACCGAAGTTCTTGCTTATCGAACGTGAAAGCGGAGCTTTGAAAAAGCCTTTGTGCTGGACTGGGAAAACGCCAAATGCTTTTAAAAATCTTCACCATCCAAGTCTTCAACTTGAAGTTATAAACAACAGAAGCTTTTCATCGTGTTTTCAAGTGCGCGGAAAAAACATGAATGCTAAGAGTGTGTCCAAAGAGCTTCGTACCGATTCTCAGGGAGGTTGGTGTGCGTCGAAAAGCTTCAGCACCCTTCAGCTGAAGATCTATGTTCCAATGATTGCTGTAAATAGTTCCCGAAGAACACGATCGGTGATAGTTTTAAGTAGGTTCTATAGCAGAGGCCAGGCTGAGATATGGCTGGATAACAACAAAGACAAAGCTATTAAGACCGACTCAAACTCAAAACTGGATCGGTATGATACAATCGCAACAAGAGTGAACCCAGGCTACCATACGATCACGGTCAGAACTTTACGGGACGGAGTGTTTATGGTTTCTGGAGTGCTTGTTGGACCCCCTGACTTTGGATTTGGGACTGATGCGTTACACTGTCAATGAGCAATGAAAGTGAACAACAACAATAAATAAATCTTTATTTTCCTTCATTTTAAAATTACATGTTATTTGTACCGCGGATAGCAAGTGCTAATCTAGGCGGGCCATGAATCGCTTGTACATATAACTAGATTAATCAGAAAACAATAACGACAATTAATTTAAGATTAAAGATATAGTGGACATTATTATCGTTTCTGCATATTACGACCACTAAAATAAAATAAGGGGAGAATAATAAAAGACGACATTGATTTTAATTACTTAATGCCATTTCAGATACATACAGATACTTAAAGATAGTAGACGCAATCTGAACTGTACTGTAGGCAATAACTAAGTTACTTCACGCTGTAGTGGTTAGTACGGTACAGTCCAATTTCAGTATTTACTGTAACCATATTCTCAATTAGCCAATCAGAAGCCGTACCTACTTTCCGGATATCCTGCAATATCAAGTCACTGTCCTGGTGTGGCTAAGATATCATGGTCACTTGGCCGAATTTGGGTATTAAGGTAAATACCTAATCGTACCTTTTTGGTACGCTTCGGCCGCATATCAGAGTCGTTTGGCCTCGCCAAGGGTATTTTTAAATACGAAGGAAGTACGCTCTTTTGTAATAATGTCTTTTTATTCAAAACAACTCCACAAAAATGGTAGCTGAACTGCTAGTAAGAAAATATAAGAACATGAATTTCAAGATACCGACCTACTTTTTATAGTCTTTAAATCTGGCCGCAACTCTGGATCGATTTCATTGTCCGACAGACCACTTCCGGAACGGGACCCAAAAACGAACATTACAACCTTTCCAAAGCTGTAATTAGGCGCTTTTATGGTTCTCGTAGTTTCGACAGCCAATAGCTCTACATTGTCTAAGCTAAGGCGAAAATCTACCTTGGGATGTTATACCTTTTATTAAGTAAAAAGGGCGTGATCAGTGCCAGGAGTCCATCCCCCTGCAGCCTCCATCACTACTATAACACAGAGTCAACCCTTTCCGGTGTCATTCTATTTTTAGGACTGTAACCAGTAGTAATCAAATATTATGAGTGCGTTCGACGCTCTCACTTTTCTCACATTTTTCAGCAACAACCGAGGTTTTACTGACAGATATATCATAGTGTCAAAGTCCATGCCAGTGAAGAAGACCCTGTATTAATTACGATTGGTTGATAAGTTGCGTGACGAGGCCAGTTTCCGTAGACTCAAAAATATTTATATTAGCCTTTAAATTTCGTGGTAAATATTTTCACATTAACTGGTAATGTTAGAGCTAATTTGTAAAAGTGTCCACTACAAACTCCAAAACATTATTTAGAATCACTTGGCATTTCTGAACAAATACCTAGTACTCTCAGAGGATTTCAACTGTAATTTGTGTGGACTTTAGTCTATGAGAGTTGACTACGGAGTCAGAGCAAGGATATTTTCTAAGTGTCGAGACATCGAGTTGCTGTAGTATGCCCAAGCTAGACAATTTCTTCATCTACAAAGCCAAAATGATACTTGAAATCGCTTGACATTTCTAAACAAAGGTCTGCTATTCTAAGAAGAATTGAATGAGTTATTCCGTGGAATTTCTATAATAATTTCAGACCTCCGAATATGTAGTTTTTTGAAAACACTTCCCGACTGCCGGGTATCTAGACACAATGAAAATGTTTAAGAGTTGCATCAAACTCTGACCGAGAGGTGTCAAACCTTGGCTTTGAAGCACATTCAATGTGCACCAGGTAATTTGCATAACATTTTTTCGCGCCTCAAAGCTCCTCATACTCAGTCACGAGGTACTATCAGGTCGTAATTTGAACAAAAAGTCTGTCATTCAACTTCCTTGGGAAATCAAAGGAAATTTAATTTGGATCGAAACGTTCGTCAAACTGAAGTTCAGCAGACCAAAGCATTTCAAATTCCTCATTTTATAATCTGGCTCCTGACTCCTAGTTCCTAGCAACAGCATCTATCTATTTATGTAAGAAATACAGCACACATGAGTACTTTTCCCATCTCGTCCTGAGTGTAGTTCAAGTGTTGGCCGAAAAACAACACCAGTACAAACTTTTACATACATTATACACCGTTGGGTGCTCATGAGAATCGTTTTCCATTCAGCAGGCATGCATGACCGTGACAACACGGCCAAAAGTTTTATTTGCATGGCCATAAACCATTACATCGTTGTAAAAGTATAGGATATTTGAAAGAAAAGCACGTGTTGGCTTACCACAATATAATCGAAGACTTTTACATACATTACACCGCAGAGTGCTCCTGATTATTTTCATGGCCATAAACTATTGTCTAAGCACTGTTTGATTTTTGAATTTTTTAAAGAAAGTTGTGACGGTGAACACACAAACGTCGCCGAGATGCAGCTGTGTTATCTGTATACTGTTTGCTTGTTTGTCGTCGCGTCTGTTATTTTATCTTATTATTACATCAGTATCGTCGGAGACACTCAAGAGAAATTGACGGTTGCCGACGATATTAGTATGAACAAGAACATTTCCTTTAAGATGCTACAGCGAGTACAAGAAGCACTGGAGGAGGAACAGTCGCCTAGTATTGACTTTGACGACGATTTGATGTCAAGAGCAATTCAGGCTGGTAATCTTACTCGCTTAAAGAACGTTCTCAAGAAAGCTTTAAGAGGTGAAGACATCAATCTATTGGTCATTGGAGGCTCTAACAGCGCTGGCGGAAAATTAGGACTTGACGAGAATAGCTTGGATGGATTATATTTTAAAGTGTT